TAAGACTTTTGCACAGAATAATTTATAATCCCTGTTTTATATAGTGAATATGTTCTATATAGGATCAGCACACTCAAACTGGGTGGATATTTGTTACTGTAAAAGATGGCAGAGCAGTCCTTGACTAGAAAGAGAGAGCATATTTCTCCCATATTGGCTTCTCTTTGTTGGCTCCCTGTTAAATCCAGAACTGAATTTAAAATCCTTCTTCTCACATACAAGGTCTTCAATAATCAGGCCCATCTTATCGTAAAGACCACATAGTGTTGTATCAGCCCAATAGAGCACTTCATTCTCAGACTGCAGGCTTACTTGTGGTTCTAGAGTATCTAAAAGTAGAATGGGAGGCAGAGCCTATAGCTTTCAGGACATTCTTCTGTGAAATCAACTCCCAGTTTGGATTTGCGAGACAGAGACCCACTCTACTTTCAAGAACTTGCATTTTTTGATAAAGCATATAGTTGGGGCACTGAATGCTCTTTTAATAATGCTGTAATAGACCTGGGCTGCTGGGGGCTTCCCAAGATGCACTTTACCTTTTTTTCCCCACTCAATAGACCTCTCAGCAGTTAATCTTTAGTTATTATTAATCTCTGGATCTGTTCCACAACATGTTTGTCCATTACCCCTGACCAGGTTGTGGCAGATGACCTCGCCCCTCCCAGGTTCTGCTGGAAGTTTCTTCCTGTTAAAAGGTAGTTTTTCCTTCTCACTGTCGCCAAGTGAATGCTCATAGGAGCTCTTTTGATTGCTGGGGTTTTCTCTATAATAATTTAGGATCTTTATCTCAAACTATAAAGCACCTTGAGGTGAGATAAAATTCAGTTGAAATGGCAATGCAGGTAAATGCTGCATATGCGTTTGCCTGCTCTCGCCATGACTGTTTTTTTTAACACATCAAGCCAAACCGCAGTATTTCCCGTAACTGCAATATGGCCAATAGCACCTGAAGGCAGCATTGCTTTCCCTCATTTAGCCAACTGAGCCGTAGACAGGAGGACAATAACACTTCTCCTCTGTAGCAGGCCTACTGTGCGTGTGTGTGTGTGTGTCACTCTATTGGAATGTCTGGCAGCAGTTCCTTACTGTAGCCAGTCATTCACTTATTTATGCCGCATGTCCTATACATTGTTGCTACTAGCCCAGAATGATTCACTCCAGTCAAACGTTTGCAAAGCTCTTTACGACCATTTGGTTTAACTCAGGGGGCAATCGCAGAAATCATTTTGACAGCCGACTCCGGTAAATAGCTGCCCCGGTGCAGCGTCTGTCCGCATGCTCCATCAGCTGCCATCCTTTGATGTGTCTCACACACAGAGATCTCACCTCGGCGAAACAGCCGGATCACTGTGAGGCACTAGTTCAATCAAAAGACGAATAGTTTTGGAATCGCGCAATGCTTTCTTCCGACAGATAAAGGCGGGATTCATGGGAGTGTCTTGATTGTGTCATTGTTTTAAACGATTATCGTCGCCCGGGACTTGAAATGAGCGGTGGCCCGAAAAGCACGTGCTCAGCGTATTACTGCATCTATTTCAACTTGGAAAATGAGGGATTTTTTCCCAATCCCCCCCTCTCCTCACCCACTCCATTGATGGGAAATCTGATGCCATCCGACAGGAATGTGCAACCCTTCCATCCCTCCAACTCTCCTCCACCCAGGAGCGTGCAAAGTGCAAAACCTTTGGGAATCCCTGGTTCCCTGATGATTTAAAAAAAAAAAAAGAGGGAGAAAACAAAAGAGAGCGGGTAGCTCTTCCAACAAGTCAAATGTGACGTAAAGCTTCCCCACACTACTTTAAAATCTGATAAAAATCTTTATCCTTTTGAAAATTAAAATCCGAAATCTAACTGAAGCATTAAATGCAATGCAGGATTTCTTGGGGAGAATATTATCTCCCGTATTTTTGTGGAATATAAGGAATATAAAAAATGAATAAATAATAAGAAGCAGATAAAGGAAAGACGCACCACTCTTTTCATATTTACATAT